ATATGGTAATGTGTTTTATATTTTAAATATGTTTCATATATGATAATGTGTTTCATATTGTATTAGATAATGTGTGTATTTTATGTATAAATATTAACAGTATAAACTATATGTTATATGTTATTTGTTTATAATTCTGTGGTATAGTGTTGTGTGAAAATGTGTGTGTGTAAAACATATTCATTTGTTTGTAATATATTTGAATGTGTTATAAATGGGTTTACCATATGGTACGTGTTTTACAATTAGAAATGTGCCTATTTAGCATAATCACATAGAATGAATGTACTTTAATTAAAAACAGCAGCAGATCAAAGTAGGATCACATGATAAACTCCACAAAGCTTCAGACAAGAAGTGAAACAGAAAACACCTTGTCCAGCTGAAAAACATCTGAGTCACAAAAGATAAACACCTGATTCGCCTGATAAACAAAAGATAAACACCTGATTCGCCTGATAAACAAAAGATAAACACCTGATTCGCCTGATAAACAAAAGATAAACACCTGATGAATACCTGATGAATACCTGATCCACACCTGATGAACACCTGATGAATACCTGATCCACACCTGATGAACACCTGATGAATACCTGATCCACACCTGATGAACACCTGATCCACAGTGAAAGACTCTGTTAAACTCGACTAACTGGATCTAAAGTCCCCAGGACTCTTTGTGTCCCTCCTCAGCTCCTAGCTCTCTGTCTTCAGCTGGTTTTTATCAAAGAAAGAAACCTAAAACTAGAGCCCACCTGACACCACTGAGTCCACGTGGACCACAAAACTGTGAGTCCCCGTGACTTGTTCGGATGGTTCTGGTCTTCAGACTTCTGTCCACTCTGATCTGCAGTAAAAACAGCTCCTCCCCCTGGCCACTTCAGATCACCACAGTTCATTATTCAGAAACATTAAAACTTTTTTTCACAGTTTATTTGAGCACATGTTAAATCACAATAATAATGACTATTATTTAAACATTTATATTATTATTTTTTTATTATTTGATTATATTTTCTATGTTTTTATTCAAACAGGGAGTAGAAAATCAGCTAAAGATTCGACCTTTGACCTCGGAGAGGAAACTTGGAGCATCTGATGAAGACACTCCTGTCACGGAGATGCTAAGCTGCGCCCCCACAAGGTCTGCTGCTCTTCTATCGACCCTCAGAGGATTATACACATTTCAAAAATAATATATAGATCTGTCTTCTTGGGTTCAGACAAAACTAGTCAGGATTATTCAGGAACAATATCCTGATGAACCAAGTACAGGCGCACATGTGAACCTGTTTCTGGGGGTGGGTCTCAAAAAACACACACCCCCCCCCACCCACCACCCCCACCTACTAGAAAATGATCGTCAAACAATAATATAAGAACAACCTGTTTCTTCATATTATATGATGACGTCATCAGGTCACATGTAAGGTCACTTGGGGTTAGCTCTGAACTTGTTTGTTTTGTTTTTTGATTATTTTTTGATTTTATTTTTTGATTTAGTTCTTCATTTATATTATTGTTTGTTTATTTCTCCTTTGTTTGTTTTGTGATTTGTGTTGTTGTCAGGGAGATCCTGAAGGGAGACAGGCGACAGGAACACGATGTCCAGCAGCCTCTCAGAACAACAGCACACAGTTCACTGTTACAGGTAGAACCGGTGGCAGGTAACAGGGGACAGGTGCAAATGGGGTCGACAGGAGGCTGTGACATCACCAGTTTCAGTCCTGTAGTGGGCGGAGCAACAAAAACGCCAGGGACCTCTGTTGGACTCCGTATTCGTCCTTTGCTAAAGGCGAGAGACGCTTGCTCCCTCCCCTCCTCTCCTCACCCAGCGGGGGGGGCAAGGCTTGCCTGCTCTCTGCCCGGCTCCCCTCTCCTGCGGGGGAGATGCTGGAAGCCCTCCCCCTCCTCCTACCCTTCCTCCTCCTCCTCCTCCAGTCTGTCCCGACTCTGGGTGGAGGAAGCTCTGCAGAGAAGCAAAAACCTCAAACAGAGTGAGCCTTGCCACCATCTGCCATGTTCCAGACAGGAGGGTGGGAGGGGGAGGTCGGGGGAGACAGAAGAGAAGGCTGAGCTGGAGGGATGGAGTGACGAGGGGAGAAAGAAGATAAACAGGCGGAGACTGTGAGCGCTGTTGGCATCAGGCTTTCGGAAACCGTCATCTTCAGGCCGCTGACCTCATCTCAGCTCTGTGGGGGGGAGGAGGATCTGCAGTCACTGTGTTTCGAGTCGAACATGTGGAGGTACTGCCTGCTGACTCCATGTGTTTGTTTAAGGTAAGAAAGCTTTTAAACTTCATACAGTAGAAGAAAATCAGCTTACACACATTGATGATGAAGTCCAAATAAAGAATTGTTTTTCCAAAATATTTATTCTTTGTTAATATCAATCCTTCTTCAGGTGTCCGAGTGCTCCGCCATTTGAAGCTGAACTCTTCTCAGACGTAGATCTTCAGAAACACGGCCAGAATTTGACACAGCCGACTAAGGAGACAGAGGGGGACAGTGAGCTGAGTTTACCCAGAGACAGAGCTCCACAGCAGGGGCAAAGCTCCGGCCTCTACCCCAGTCTGAGTCCGTGGAGGATCACACCTGTCTGTCAGGTGAAACTTCCCTTTGAACTTTGCCTGAAAAATTCTGGCAGTGTTTCTCTCCTTGAATTTTAGAAGGATACTAAGAAGCACCCATGCACGGATCAGATTCTGAAATCTCCCCCACTTTTCACACCTGAAACTCTTTGCATATTTAAACAAAAAACAAATCTTTTCTGACTTTAAAGGGATAGTTGTTTGAGTTCGGCCTCCTTGTCTAAAGTAAGTATGAGCTAAAGAAGATGCAGGTCTAACTGACACTCAGCTTTTAACTGCTTTAATCTGACACTTAAACTCTTCTATCTTTCTTAACTGCTTTAATCTTTATTTCATAAATAAAACCTATAAAACTTTATCTGCCTACAAGGGTTTTCTAAATGTTTTTTCAGGTGTGTTTTGTTCCCCAGAACCTCTGTTGTTTTATTTTTTTAACATTTTCTCATCAGACGGATTTGGACAGGAAACAGGAACAGGACATTAAGCCTTTCCTGTCCTGTAGCCATGGCAACAACACTGGGGATCACCTTCCAAAACTCTGTGAGATGTCAGGTGAGCGAGAGTGAAAACCAAACACACACACATGACATAACCTATCTCTTCCTGTCTCTAGCTTGTCTCCCTGAGGAATGCTGCACATGGTAGGCTACAAATGACGCTCTGCACGCGCTTACACACCTTCAACAAGTTAATGTCAATTCCAATAACAACCTAAGTGACTGGCATAATCAAATGAAATATCTTATCTTCTTAATATGAGAGAAAAGCAAGAAACTCACGTTAAGCTTACATACCTATAACAATCCAGATCAGCATTTCCCCATCATTTATTTGCTGGTTTATCTGCATACAAAACAACATTTTCAGGTCTGTGGAAACCTTTTTTTTTTTTCTTCTTTTAAACAGAACGATATCTTTGTCAGAGAAAAATACGAAGTGGTCAATCACCATTCACTATTTATGGATCTTTGGAGGTTGGTAAGTTTGGGTACGATCCAGAATCAAATCATGGAACGATCATTTATAGCCTAAAGTAAGAACTACGTTTTATCATTTGCAAAAATATCAAAATTGCTGACTATCTCACTTTAATTGATGATGCCTGAGTGGCCAGAGCCTCCGCTGTGTGCTGCACAACTATTCCTACAGCAACTTGACCCGTCGTCCTCTTGCTCGGTTTAAATGTTTTCTATTTGCTTTGGTGCTTTCAGAATAAAAAAGTATCTTCTCCCCAAAATTCGCTGCCCGCAGTCCCTTTGAACTTTGACCTGACCTCAGACCTTATTTAACATATATTTCGAGAGATACACTGAATTACCTGTTCCTCAGCTTTCTCTACCCGTCTCTCATTTGTCCCTCACCTGTCAAGGTGTGGCAGGTGAGCTACAGACTCTGTTGTGTAGCTATGAGGTTGATCCTTAAGCAGGTGTTTGACTCCTCCACCTGCACAGGCGAGAGTCTCACAGTAACCACATTTTGTTTGCATGCACTTTTATTTCAGATGTTCTGCAGGTAAGGCCATAAAAGCTTTAACCTGCCATGTTGTTAATGTTTCTGCAGGTTGTGTTGGAGAATCCTGCAGCTTCTGTTCCTTCAAATTCAAAGTCCAAAACACGCAAAACCATCTTTGCAGAAACTGTGCCGAGGTAAACACTCACCTGAGCCCAGGCAAACAGTTATCTGGTTTCACTATCCCGAGAAAGTGATAACACTGAGCGGCCACATAATTCTAATTAAAAAGCTCTGGAAGTTTGTCCAGAGATTTTATGACGTGTCCAAGTAAAGGGTCTGCAAGACATGATAAAACAGTTATCATAATTATCACGACGCCCGTTCGTTACGTTGATGTGTTTCTCTCATGATGTGTGGCAGTCTTTAAAACACTGAGTTAAACTTTGACTCAAATCTCAATTTAAACCTGAACATAGACCAGAGTCCAGCTCCACGGCTGTTCTTGTGTGTTTTCAGGTGTTCTCTGGTAAAAACTGGAAGAACACTGGGGACAGGTAGAAACTGAAAACCTGTGCTTTCTGTGTTTCAGGTGTTCTGTGGTCGCTGATCGTGTGTCTTTACCTCAGATTCATCAGTTTGGTCAAACTGAAGTCTGAAACTGGACAGGTTACCCGTAACACAGGTGTTCACTTCCATCAGCACTTATTAACCTGACATGATACAAACATGAGGAATGTAGTTAGTGATTAAAGGATTTCTTGTTTTAATGATACATGATTGAACAGTCTCCTATCAGTGATGAACAATTTGTTTTTTTGTAGAAAGTTGTCAGCAGTTGAACATTTTTAATGTTGAATTAAAATATTGTGTAACAATTTAAAATCTATGAATAAAAACGTCTTTTGTTTGAGTTAAATAAAGCAGCTTTGTTCCTGTTTTTAAATCAAAAGTCGTATCGGTTTCTTTTTTATTTTTTTTAATTTCAGACATTTTACAGATAAAAAAAAAAGATGTTAACATTTACCAGATTCTTGTCATTAATTACTTTAGTGTTTATTCCAGTTTCCTGTCTGGTACTTCCTGTCCAGAAGGAAGCTAAAAGCATGACGCTAACAGTAGTACCGTAGTTTAATTCTGTTCCTGTTCAACAAAGTTAACTCTTAACTAAATAAATAAAAAACTGAACCAACAGAGAGACTAGGAGAGTCCAGCAGAGGAATCAGTCTGGTGCAGATGACAGTTGCATTGTGGGTACTGTAGTGCTGATCTGTGATCCAGCGCAGAGGGAGTGCTCGTTTTCTGGCGGGAGAAATCCGGTCAGGCCCCGCAGAGACTGCTTTAAGGCCAGACCTTCATGAACGCCAGCAGCTGAACTTCCCACTGAGCCGGGACACCTGAATGCAGCACGGCTGAGGAGAGACAAAGGGTTAGGTTTATGTTACCTGAGTGTTCATGTTACCTGTGTGTTCATGTTACCTGTGTGTTCATGTTACCTGTGTGTTCATGTTACCTGAGTGTTCATGTTACCTGTGTGTACATGTTACCTGTGTGTTCATGTTACCTGTGTGTTCATGTTACCTAAGTGTTCATGTTACCTGTGTGTTCATGTGTTCATGTTACCTGAGTGTTCATGTTACCTGTGTGTTCATGTTACCTGTGTGTTCATGTGTTCATGTTACCTGTGTGTTCATGTTACCTGTGTGTTCATGTTACCTGTGTGTTCATGTTACCTGTGTGTTCATGTTCATGTTACCTGAGTGTTCATGTTACCTGTGTGTTCATGTCTTCATGTTACCTGAGTGTTCATGTTACCTGTGTGTTCATGTTACCTGTGTTCATGTGTTCATGTTACCTGTGTTCATGTTACCTGTGTGTTCATGTTACCTGTGTGTTCATGTGTTCATGTTACCTGAGTGTTCATGTTACCTAAGTGTTCATGTTACCTGTGTGTTCATGTGTTCATGTTACCTGTGTGTTCATGTGTTCATGTTACCTGAGTGTTCATGTTACCTGTGTGTTCATGTTACCTGAGCTCCGTTTCAGAAAGCAGGTTTAATGCATCCCCTACCCATACCCAAACCTAGAAAAAGAGAGGTTACTTGAGCTCTGAGTCAGTTACTATGGTAACCGAGTCTGTGAACCTGGTTACTTGAGCTCTGAGTCAGTTACTATGGTAACCGAGTCTGTGAACCTGGTTACTTGAGCTCTGAGTCAGTTACTATGGTAACCGAGTCTGTGAACCTGGTTACTTGAGCTCTGAGTAAGTTACTATGGTAACTGAGTCTGTGACCCTAACCTGGTCTGGAGCAGGTTTTCTTCAATAAATGAGTTTCTCTCCGTCTCTTCCAGAGCCAGAATCACACTTTAATGTCTTCATTCAGTTCATGCTCGTGTGAGTGGACATTCCCCCGTTCCGTTCCATTCATGAAAACATGATCATACTCCTTGTGTGTCAGCATGAGGATTTCCAGTGCGAGAGGGGTAAAGTATTGGGACCTGCTTTTTTGCCACCTGTTGCTATGGCGATTCATAGTATCGGAGCTTCATCAGTGTTAACTTTTTATAGTCGTGGGGCACGCACTGAACCCTGAGGGTCTGTCTGAAATGATACACTCATCCCCTATGCCTTACTCACTAAATACAGGAGCCGTACGGAGAGGACTATAGCGCACTCATTCAGTACAATTTAAAAAACAAAAACATTTCAGACACTGCTCGCTCATTCACCCCACCGACAGTGATGTCACATAACTGCAACGTGCAACTTTACTCTGGCCGAGGGTATAATAATGACAAAAACAATTTAACTGAGAGTTCAGGATAAGACTCAGAGATTGTTGAACCTCCTTCCTGAAACGGGCCTCTGTGTGTTTGATTGGATGTGTGTTCATATGACCTCTGTGTTGGTTTACCTGTATGTAGCTCTATGAGGTGGAGAAGCTCCTGGGATCCACCTGGTTCATCTTCATGTTGTTGTCGAGGATCTGAAAGATCTCCTGGATGTTTGGAACGTAACCCGACTGAAGCTTTGACCAGATGGGGACATCTGAGAGAGGAAGCCAAACACACTATTACACCCCAACCTCTCTCACCTCCTCTTCTCTGCTTTTCTTATTTGTTCCACTACATCGACCCAGATTCTTTACAGTTTTATGTTTAAAAAAAAAAAAAAGATTCTTAAATTGGTGCAATATTTTCCAGCTGTTTTTCAAAGTGTTAAACGCCTCTCGATCCTCAACCTCACTGGAATGATCTTCCCAATCAATACTAACTTGTTAACAGTTAACTTCATTAAACGTGAGATGTTCTATCAGGTGTCTCATTTTACAATTTCACAACCTTTCCAGTCTTTTGTTGCAACTGTCCCAACATTTTCAATCACAACAATCGCATTTTTCGGTTTCAACATTTGATATGCTGCCTTTGTGCTATTTTCAAAAATGAGGTTTTAATTGTTGTTTTAATCACCACATTTTGCTCTATTTACATTTTACATAACATCCAAATTTTTAAGGAATTGTGGTTTTTAATCCGAACTCACCGTTCAGCGTGACCTCAAAGGCTCCAGTGGACAGGAAGTGAGTCTCCATCATGTTGCAGAGGAAGAAGGCCATCAGACACGAGAAGATCTGAAAAACAAGAACAGTCACCTGGTTAATCCCGTTGTCATGGTAGCGAGCTGAAAAGTGTGTTCCCTGGCAACATACACCGTACCTTGTTGTCCTGAGTCCAGGTCCAGGCTCTGGGAGTGTCAAGTCCGAGGAGGACAAAAGGGTTCTGACCGCTGACGATGAGGAGGATGGAGAGCAGCTTCAGGTAGGAGACCAGGTTCCCCAAAACCCTAAGGAGGACAGGTTGACTGGTTATACTGGTTATACTGGTTTAGGTGGTTAAAACCACTCTGACTGTGTTCAGACTCCAATTCTGTAATAATAATAATCATCAGTCTAACTTCTGTCATCATTAATAAAGCTGTTAAGACTCATGGCAGCAAAACTTAAGGAGATCTGTGTGAACCAAAGTAACCTGTTGGAGGTGTTTAAGTGATGTCAGAGCTCACCTGTTTAAGGTGTTTATGTCAGGGCTCACCTGTTTAAGGTGTTTATGTCAGGGCTCACCTGTTTAAGGAGTTTATGTCAGGCTCACCTGTTTAAGGTGTTTATGTCAGGGCTCACCTGTTTAAGGTGTTTATGTCAGGGCTCACCTGTTTAAGGAGTTTATGTCAGGGCTCACCTGTTTAAGGTGTTTATGTCAGGGCTCACCTGTTTAAGGAGTTTATGTCAGGGCTCACCTGTTTAAGGAGTTTATGTCAGGGCTCACCTGTTTAAGGAGTTTATGTCAGGGCTCACCTGTTTAAGGAGTTTATGTCAGAGCTCACCTGTTTAAGGAGTTTTAGACATGTCAGGCTCACCTGTTTAAGGTGTTTATGTCAGAGCTCACCTGTTTAAGGTGTTTACGTCAGGGCTCACCTGTTTAAGGTGTTTATGTCAGGGCTAACCTGTTTAAGGTGTTTTAGACATGTCAGGGCTCACCTGTTTAAGGTGTTTATGTCAGGGCTCACCTGTTTAAGGTGTTTTAGACATGTCAGAGCTCACCTGTTTAAGGTGTTTATGTCGGGGCTCACCTGTTTAAGGTGTTTACGTCAGAGCTCACCTGTTTAAGGAGTTTACGTCAGAGCTCACCTGTTTAAGGAGTTTACGTCAGAGCTCACCTGTTTAAGGGGGTTGGAGGGAAGTTGTCTCCCTCGATGCGGATGTCCGGGTACAGCTGGCTGATTGCTTTAGAGTACTCCTGGAACACCTTACTGTAACCTCAGGAGATACTGAAACAAAGAGAGGTCACACCTGTCAGGTGAAATTGGCAGGTCAGGTGACACAGGTGTCTCTGAGGATCATGCTTTATACTTTAATGTAAAACCAGATAATGAGCTACAAAGGAAATATGTTTTAATAAAGAGACGTTTTAAAAATCTTGTTTTCTATTTAATAAAAACGTTTTTGTATTTTATATTCAGTCAGAAAACGTGTTCTCTAATCTACAGATTATCACATGATGCTAACTAGCAGTTAGCTCACCAGTACTGGAACCGGAGCACGGGCCCGGTGTACAGGGAGGGCTTGGCCGGTTTCCCGGGCTCGGTGCCGGGCAGGGTGTCCGGGGAGAGGCCGGGACTGTCGGCCTGCTGCTGTCCGTGCTGCGAGCTCATCCTGCCGAGATAAACGTCCCGGACCGTGAGCGCCGTGAAGAGGAGCAGAGCCGCCAGGAGGCCCGCCTGGCTGTACTCCGCCATGTCTGCTGTGTGACAGGGGGGAGGGGCCAAATGTCCGGTAACAAGACACTCGTACGGTGTTTCCGGTTTGACTCTTCACTATATAAAATTATTATTTATTTCAATTGTTTTTTATTATTTATTCTTTATTTCGAACGATTGAAAATAGATGAAAATTAATAAACAAACGGAAAAAATAAAAAAATCTGTATAAAAAAAATAAAAAAATAAAAAGCCAATTTCAATATAATACACATTTGACTCGTTTGAAAAGGGATAGAAAGAAGTCTTGTCAAGTCCTACCCCCATTCTTCACCATTAACAAATGCAAAATTCAATTAAATAAACTAAACGGACAATACAAAAAAAAATACTCCAATCAGCTATTAAGAAAAACGGTAATAATACTTTTGTCCATGCCTGTAAAATAACTTAAACCGATAACTGTGATTCATTTTGAAGGACTTTTTGTTTTTCTTGAGTTTTCCCTTTTGTGTATTTTAAACTCGGAATATTTTTCGCACCTTTCTGACAGCCCATTCCCCCTCAAACCCCCACACAGGACTACCTCACTAGACTGTAAAATACAATATAACGTGCAATATATTTATCTGTATAGTAATTTTACTCATAGTTTTTATTTTTATATCTATTTATATCTGCACCTTATTTTTTATTTTGTATATGTAAATACATGCTGCTGTTTTTATCCTGCACTACAACGAGCCAAATGCAACGAAATTTCGTTCTTATCTGCACTGTAAAGTTCAAGTTTGATTGACAATAAAGAAAGTCTAAGTCTAAGCTTAAGCTTCAGTTCAGTTAATATTTACAGTCTATGCTTCAGTTACATGGCAAAAAACTGGCATTACTAAACAAAAAAATAAAAAAATTAATAAAAGAAACTTGACTAAACAGTTTATATTTTAGCGGTTCGAGCAAAAAAAAATATTGATTTTACAACTCAGGTCTTCATCAAAATACTCAGAGAATCAGGGCAAATATATATGACTCATCGATGTTCTTCAAAGTCTTCGTTAAAAAGTTTATAAACGTATTTTTAAATATTTACGGTCAACAGTTCAAAGACTATTTAAAAAAAAATTATTGAAGCAAAATATTGTAAAATAAATAAATAAATAAAAATAACAAAACAAATACCCCTTCAAAATCACGTGTCACACTGTCGTGGTACGTCTGCCATATTACTACAAACTCTGTTTTGTTATGACCGTAATAAGTTGTGTCTGGTCTATTTATGTGTTTACAGTTTTATTTTTTCTCTCTGACGTCACATTTACTAGACAGGCAGCGGTATGACGTCATATTTATGAGACGCTATGTGAGTCCCGTGCTGGTTACAGGATGAAGGTGAGAGAAGAATGAAATCACATATTTAATGTCCTGTTCTTCACCTCTGCCTCATTGAATCGTTTACGCAGCGTCTTGACACACAGATCACCTAACGGCTGACGTCACACAGGTACGTTCAGGGTTTGTTTTGGCTGTGGGATTTATTTATCACGAGAGTTCAGTAAATATCAGCTGGAACACCTGTGACAGGTGACACAAAACTGAAGGTTTAAATTATGAATTATGACTCAAACCTGCCAAACAGCATTCAATAACCTCTTTTTCTACTTGTGTCGCTGTAATTTATTATAATTTATTATAATTTATTCTAAAACAATACTCACAATAATGTTCAATAATGTATTAAATAAATGACGTAATCTATAACACTGTGCCTACAGTAACACTAATACAGTACATTATTATCAATCAATCAGTCTTTGTTTGTATAGCATGGATATGGGGATGTATGGTATATCAGGGGTGTCCAAAGTGCGGCCTGAGGGCCATTTGCGGCCCTTGAGGGAATTTTTTGCGGCCCGTGACTTCAAATGAAGAATCAGAAGATTCGATTAAGATCGGCACATTATCTTATTTTTCTTTTTCATGTTAACAAGGGCTGAACAATATTCCTAAAATAGAAAATGTTCAGTAACGTGTATGTTTTTTTTTTTTTTTAAATCTACAGCTTTTAACTATTTTCCACATTTTTTTTGTAAACTATGAAAAAAAACTCATGCACAGTTTTTGCAAACAAGCGGACTGTTGTTTAACCATTTAATGACCTGAGCTAAATGAAGAAAGCTTTTCCAAAAAAAACATGAACCACGTTACAGGCTTGATTCTGAGAAAAAAAACAAATAAAGTAGAACGAAGAAATCAAAATATTTGATTTCCTTTTATTAAAGGGTTTCTTTAGCGAGCCTTTTGATTCTGATCTACAAAGCCTGACTATTTTTTCAACTATATTTTAAAAAACAAAACCTGTGGCCCGCCAGCGATTCTAACACGACAATTTCGTCCCGCAAGAAAAAAAAGGTTTGGACACCACTGGGTTATATGGTTAAATCTATTGACTTTACATACAGATGGTCGCCCTCTGGTGGTGTGCCCCTTCCTTTAACTAACGCAAACATTAAACTTCCTTATAAAAGATCAGAGGTCTCTTGTGAACAGATCCTTGAGTCATTTTAAAGCAGGCACTAGCGGTTATGGAAATCTGTGTTGGTCCGGTTTTGAAATGGTAAACATGGTCAGAGTCACAAGAAGCTTTCTAGTTATGTTGTATGAGTGATATACACAGAACAGAAGTCGTTTACATGACGGTGATAATAAGAAAACACACAAACATCCAGTCAGCAGGGGGAGCTCTAAATGTTTTGGCTTCACTTTTGGGAGCGTACATGTTGTCCATCTTTTTATACAGTCGATGGTCTGTGTGTTTCTCGGAGGGTAAAACTTTAAGGTGTCTCTCTTTTTTTACAGTCACCATGGTGACTGTGGGAGTGTCTTTGAGGTCTGTTGTCCTGCAGCCCCGCCTCCTCCAGCTTTCTGCACAAGGATTCTGTTTTACTGCATTGAACAGGAAGTCGCCTCTACCTGGTCACGCCTGCTCTGTACCTCAATCTACGGGATTCACTTCAGTCAGGTGTCGAAGGAACATGTCAGGAATCTGGACGCCGTCAGGGGTCTGGGCGGCGTCAGGTGTGCTGAAGCCATCCGGTGTGTGGACTCCATCAGGTCTGTGGACGCCGCCGGGTGTCAGGAGGTTCTCAGGTGTTGCCGGTGACGACGGTGCGGGCGGCTGGTACAGCGCACTGTCTGACTCGCCTCCGGTTCACCTGTGTGAACACTTCCTGGTGAGCGTGCAGCAGCTGAGTGGGCTGCCGTGGTGGTTGAGCATCGTCGCGGCAACGCTTTCAGTCAGAACTCTCATCACTCTGCCACTCTCCGTCTACCAGATGGTTATCATTGCCAAGGTAACATACGTAACCTGTGTTATGTTAGTGCGATAATCAGTTGAGATGACATGTTTTAAGATCAACACTTTAAAAAAAATATTTAGACACACACACTCAAAACAAAGACACACACACTGACGGCTTATCTACAGTGACCACTGACGAGCACGTCTCAGGACTGTGTGATAACCTGGAGACAACAAAAACATGTACGTGGTGAACGTTTAAACCCCTCACAGCTGAACCCTGTCAGACTGGGATTCAAACCAGGAACCATCTTCCTGTGAGGAGCTTTTACTGTATGTATACTTTATATGTGTAATCCACTCTGTAGAGTCCTTACAGCTGCTGTGTTAGTGTGTAATAAGCTTCAACTACTGAAGGGGGCGATCTCCACTAATACTCCTTCATCACCACACACACTGGTCGATACACTCTCCAACATAGGCTGTGTTCTCCTGTTTGATTAAAACTACAGAGACCAGCTGCTTTAAATGTGAAGCTTCAAATCTGTGAGCAGAATTTTAAATGAACCAATGAGCTGAGAGGTACAGACTGGAAGTCAGACTGTAAGGTTGTGCCTGAAACCGCACGCTATACTGCCTACTACATACTCAAAAACACACTGAAATATACTGCATGCTTACCGGTCCGTTAGTTTACTGTTAGCCTCATACTTAACTCCGGGTTACATGACTGTGACACTCACCTGTTTCTGGAGCAAGGTTGGATAATCTAGCATCAAACTAGCACGACCATTGGTCCGCAAATATAATTTAAAAAACATGAAACATCCATCCATTACTCACTCAGCTACTTAGTTATATTAACAGTATTTGATATCATATAAAGCAAATGACTGTTCAGTTACTTTTATTTGCATGCCTCTGTGGTTGGCTTTAGTACGACCGGTGTGCTTCAATGAAAACTCTTGAAGTAAATTCACAAATTCAGAAAGTATTACATACTCAAAGTGATGTCATACTGAGCATGAAACTATGAGGTTTTCAGACAGACAGACAGTCAGACAGATAGATGGGAAGACAGACAGGAAGTCAGATAGACAGGTTGCTGTTTTGAGTCTAAACATGGAGGAGTTTTGAGTCTACCATCTTTTCTCAAATCTGTGAACCAACCTCAGACAGAATGTAAACACAGAATATTTTCACAATAAATTCCTCCTCCCTCCTTCCTTCCCTCTCTCCTCCTCTTGAATAGAGCTGCAACATGAAGTGAAGGCCGAGTGCTGATACGCGTCCGTTGTTGTTTTTTGTACGCTGCTCGCCTCTTTCCCAGATAAAGAAATGAAGGACATTTTTTCTGTCTCTTTGTAACCATAGTAACCTCCAGGTGTTTACAGGTGGAGGCGCTGCAGGTGGAGATCTCAGAGCTGGCAAAAAGACTCCGGTATGAAGTTTCAGTCCGAGCGAGGGAGAGAGGCTGGACAGAGAAACAGAGCAGGTAAACAAACACAAACAAACTCAGCTGGATCATCAGTGAGATCAGATCCTACAAGGTGTACAGGGTCCCTCCTGAGGTTCTGAGGAGTCTGGGTTCTGAGGAGGACCACGCCTCAGTTCTTTTTGTCCATGGTCTCTGTTTGGTTTCAGGTTCCAGTTCAAAAAGAATCTGCGTCGGCTGGTCTCGGAGCTCTACGTCAGGGACAACTGTCACCCCTTCAAAGCCAGTCTGCTGGTCTGGGTCCAGATCCCCCTGTGGATCAGTCTGTCTCTGGCCCTCAGGAACCTAAGTCTGGATCAGTCCGGTAAGCCAATGGTCTAGACCAGTCCAGGTTTGTGGTCTGGCACATTTTTACCAATAGAAAGCTCACAAACTTTGTTTTGCGTAGGCCAGTTTCAGGCCCTTCTTTGTGTGTATGCCATGCTTATAAATGAGACCCGAGGACGTGGAACAGGACTAGGGCGAGGCAATCGGATCAGGTTTTGGTCCCTCTGACAGTACTCTGGTCTGTGCAGGTCTTCAGTCTGGACTGGCAGCAGGGGGCGCTCTCTGGTTCTCTGACCTCACGTTACCGGACCCCACCTGGATCCTCCCGGTCTGCCTGGGACTCACAAACCTGCTCATCGTAGAGGTCAGTCTTATCTCCTGATGATGTCTTCTGACCTAGTAGATCGGGTATCCTGGATCATGAATACATGTCTGACATTGTGACAAAACAATCAGTTTGAAAATATATTAACATTTGAGAGTTCTGAATATCTTAATTGTGAGTAGACCTCCTGCCGTCTTCGACTTGAATTCATTTGGAGGCGTGGCTACCCCTCTGCGAGATAGCAGCTCCTGTGAACATCAGTACGATGGAGGATTAGGGCCACGTAAAAAAAAAAAAAAAATCTAACATTTTAAGATTAAACAAGTAAATTTACGAAATTTAAATTGTAAATTTACAAGGTTAAATTTGTTAATTTACGAGAATAATCTAGTAAATTAACGAGTTCGAGACCAGCCTGCGCGAAAATTATGAAAGGAGAACTCTTAAAGGCTTTAAAGAATAAAAGAATGAAGTCGTTATTTTAGTCTATATCAAATGTTTTTGGCAAATCATCATCTTCACATTGTCATAAAATATCAGGACCCTGAAAAAGGTACTGCAAGAAACTGGGGCTTTACGAAAAAAGAACCAAAGAGTTTCAGGGTTCTCCTTTCATCATTTTGCCGCAGGCTGGTCTCGAACTCGTCAATTTACTAGATTATTCTCATAAATTTGCGAGTTTAATCTCAAAATGTTTGATTTTTTTGGTATTTTTTTTAACGTGGCCCTAATCCTCCGTCGTACATCACCGGCACAACAGGTGGAATTTATTTTCAACTTTCTTTAACCATGCACAATTTACATAAGGTCTAACAAACAATCAGATAACACAATACATAAGAGCTGCTCCACAAATGTAAAAATTAAACATTGACACGGAGACGACCTCTTTCAGGGGAACAACTGTGTGAAATGTTTGCAGTGAAAATCAAAGAGTTCAAATCTGTCGAAGATTTTATAATTATACCGTATTGAAAAAAATAAATGGTTAAGGGCTTGTAGCTTGTTCACAAAAAGCACACGTCTTATCCACGTCCACATACCTGGAGATTCAAGAACTGGCAGGATGAACATGTTACAAAGACTTTTAAAGTGGATTACTTTGATTTTGTGTTTTTCTCCCCAGTTTATGTCTTCAAAACAAGAGTTCCAATAAAGACGTCCTCTTGTTGAGAATCAGTTATATATCAGTGTATGTCTGTTGTTACATTTGTTGTTGAGTATATCCCCAGGCTGATGATGTCACCTGATCCACCTCTTTTCTTCTTCAGGTGTTTTCTCTGCAGAGACTGGAGGCGACGCGTTTTCAGAAGTATGTGACAAACATCATCCGGGCGCTTTCAGTCCTGATGATCCCGATAGCTGCAACAGTCCCCTCAGTGAGTGAAACAGTCGGTAAAAACAGTCTGTGAGTGAGTCAGTGAATGCAGTCAGTAAATACAGTCAGTGAATAAAGTCAGTGAATACAGTCAGTAAATAAAGTCAGTGAATACAGTCAATTAAAAACAGTCAGTAAATAAAGTCAGTGAATACAGTCAATTAAAAACAGTCAGTAAATAAAGTCAGTGAATACAGTCAATTAAAAACAGTCAGTGGATAAAGTCAGTGAATACAGTCAATTAAAAACAGTCAGTGGATACAGTCAGTAAATACAGTCAGTGCTGTCAGTAAATACAGTCAGTGTACACAGCAGATCCACGATCTGGTCCAGGTCCAGGTCCTGGTGTTGGTTCAGAGGTTTCTGATGGAGACCAGGTTCAAGTGTTTTTCTCTACAGTAACATGTTCAGGTGTGTTGAACATTCCTGAGCTCGTTCATCAGATCAAACACATTCAGACATGTTTATTAGACCACGCCCCCCCCCCCGACATGTTCCTGCTGAGACCCACACCTGGACCAGGACATATTGAATAAGTATTATCACAGTTAATGTAATGTTAATGTAATGATCACAGGTTTAACTTTAGTGTTTTAATTCACCTCGTTCTCTATGTGTTGTGATTCTCTTACAGTCCATGTCTCTGTACTGGTTTGTGTCCAGTCTGGTCGGATTCAGTCACAACCTCATCCTCCGATCTCCGTCAGTGCACAGACTCCTCAAACTGAAAACGACAAGATCTGAAACTCCGTACAGCGATCTGTTGTCAGCCTTCCTCAACAAATACTTCAGATAAACACAACAACACAACATGTACACAGAGTCCAGAGAGCTGCTGTCAGCCAATGTCTGCAGGGAAACACAATTACACAACATCTACATTCTCTTCAGAGAGCTGCTGTCGCCTTCATGAACGATTACTGCAACAAGTACACACTGTACACAAAGTGTAACTTTGAACATGAACTGAATCAAAGTACAATGTTATTAAAGTATGAAAACTGTGTAACTGTAAATACTATGTCAAATAAGTTGTGTGTGTGTGCGTGTGTGTGCGTGTGCGTGCGTGTGCGTGCGTGTGTGTGCGTGTGCGTGCGTGTGTGTGCGTGTGTGTGTGCGTGCGTGTGTGCGTGCATGTGTGTGTTACTTCCTGCTCTCTGTAACCAGAAGAATAAACTCGACCTTTTGACTTAAGATATTTCCTGTTTTCTTTTTCAACCAACGATCTGAAACTATTTACAGATAATTTAACAATGTTTTGTTATTGATGTTTTGACATTTTCTCTTATGACATTTAAACTTAAAACCTACGTACACAATTGTAACTATATTTTAAAAAGTAGATGAAGTTTAACAGTTTTTAACTGGTGATGTCATGTTGAGTGTCTGGACGCTCACTGTGTGTAAAGAAACAGGAACAATTTAAATCCCTACAGTTCAAACAGAAAATCACCTTTTTATTGCACCAGTAGCCTAGTGGTTATTGTGGCGGCCCTGGTTCGAATCCTCTGTCCTATCTCTAGAATGAAGGTATAAAAATACCAAAAAAATACATTTTAAAAATCAGTGATCAAAGTGATCAAAAATATTAAATATTTTAATAAATTGATTGAAACCATCAGACATTAAATAGGCTACAAATCTAATTAAATGAAATATCTTATTAGGGATAATAAAATGTTTTTATATATATTATTGGTGTTATTTCAGTATAAGTAATCCGCCAGTAAAGCTTCTTTCTCAAACTGTAACAGAAAAATGTTTTCAAAAGTTATTTTTTAATAACCATTTATATATATATATAGTGAGAGCAGCTCTGGGCTCAGTAGAGGGGTCGGAGGGTCGGAGACAGTCCACATAGGGGGGCGGAGTCAGTCAGTCTCTTTAAAAAGGCTCACAGTCTGAGTTCAGGGCTCAGACCAGCAGACCGTAGTCATGATGAAGACTTTAATCTGTGTTTTTCCGCTCCTCTCTCTCCTCTCGGGGGTCTCGGCAGCTGCGGGATGTGGACCATGTGATCCGGATCAGTGTGCTCCTCTCCCGGCGGACGGCTGCCCCGCAGGCACTCTGATGGATTCCTGCAGCTGCTGCTCCGTCTGCGCAGCCGCCGAGGGGGAGCTGTGCGGGGGGCGACGCACTGCAGCCCGCCGCTGTGGACCCGGTCTGGAGTGTTTGAAAAGCAACGAGGACAAAAAGAACAAACTGGGAGTCTGCACCTGTAAGAGCAACTACGAAGTGTGCGGCTCCGACGGGGTGACATACAAGACCGGCTGCGCACTGAAGCGCGCCAGCCTGACAGCCGGGACCGAGGGGAATCCACCAATCACTGTGCAGAACAAAGGACGCTGCGCTGCAGGTGAGAAGGAGATGCACGGTGCACACAGGTGAGAGGGAGACACACAGGTGAAAGAGTGAGACACACAGGTGAGAGGGAGAGACACAGGTGAGAGAGAGACACACAGATGAGAGAGAGACACACAGGTGAAAGAGTGAGACACACAGGTGAAAGAGTGAGACACACAGATGAGAGAGAGACACACAGGTGAAAGAGTGAGACACACAGGTGAAAGAGTGAGACACACAGATGAGAGAGAGAGGCACACAGATGAGAGAGAGACACACACACAGATGAGAGAGAGAGGCACACAGATGAGAGAGAGAGACACACACAGATGAGAGAGAGACACACACACAGATGAGAGGGAGGCACACAGGTGAGAGAGTGAGACACACAGGTGAGAGAGAGAGACACACAGATGAGAGGGAGGCACACAGGTGAGAGAGAGACACACAGGTGAGAGAGAGAGACACACAGATGAGAGAGGGAGGCACACAGGTGAGAGAGAGACACACAGGTGAGAGAGAGACACACAGGTGAGAGGGAGGCACATAAATCAGTGCTTTACCTCTCTGTATCCTGGTAAAGCTGTTCGTGACTTTGTTTTCTCCTTTCTAGATCTTGCTTGTTTCTTGTTTGTTTTGTAGTTAGTCTCATATACGGCGCATTGGACAAAAGGTGAGAGTGAGACACATGTGAGAGTGAGACACATGTTTTGTTTCTTTGAGCTACTTTGATTGTTTTTTTCTTCTGGGCTCTTCTATCTGAGTCTTAAGGCCAGTACTCCAGCCCTGCCCAACTTTAATAATTATTATTTTACTATTATTTATTTTACTATTATTATTAATATTATACAAGTTATATGTCACAGTTTTAACCACATAGATGTTTTCATCACTAATCATTAATATATGTGTAGGCTTTTATATACTATTCTATGAATATGTTTGAGTTATAAATATATGTGTGATTTATATACTGTATAACTCTTTATATGAGTGTTTTATATATTAAAATATAAATAAATGAGTGTTTTATATATTAAAATATTGTTTTATATATAACTCTGTCTGTTGTTAAATTTGCTGTGTTGACAGACGGTCGTGTTTAAACAGATTAATCCGACATGAAGCTCTTTGACTCGCTGACAGTAACTCACACTGAGTGATGATGATCCTCCTTCATCCCTTTTAAAAACACTGAATTCTTTCTACATGGAAAAACCCCCCTGAGCGCGCTCAGACCGAACTGAATTCCACAGAGGTCACAGAGGATTTTCTGTCTCCGGCAGATTCCTGCGACCTGTTGCATCCTGTTTCACATTCATGTGGAAACTTCCCCTCATCCAAACTTAATTATCTCTGATTTTACTGACAGTCACGAACACCTCTCTCTCTCTATTTACCCGTCTGTCTGCAGCTCCGGTCATCGTCACTCCTCCAGGTGAGGTCTACAACGTGAGCGGCTCTCAGGTGTACCTGAGCTGCGAGGCGGTGGGCGTGCCCACACCTGTGCTGACCTGGAAGAAGGTGAGTCATATCAATTAATCTTAGCACTAATTTAAACTGAATGTTATCGGCAAACAAAAAGAGCAGCTCTATACTGTTCTCTTTGGTAAATGATATATAAAGACTCAACATTAATCCACCGTGAGCACAGACCTTAGAAAAGTAACAACGGCGAGGAACAACTTCCTTTAACAGGCAGAAACCTCGAGCAGAACCAGACTCATGTTGAACAGCCATCTGCTGAGACTGTTAGGTTGGAGAGGGGATGGAGGGAAGGACAGAGCAGGATGGAAACAAACAGTGCAAGAACAACAAAAACAACAGCAGGTTGCTGTTATAAAAACAATAATAACAACAATAATAACAGTTACACAAAAAGACCAGAGTACAGTGAGGAGATGCAGAAATAAAATATATAACACAATGTGGTTATTTCGATAAAGAAGAGGTTGATGAAAGTACAATGTGAATGAAATGTTCAATTATAAAATGATTTCTGGGCTGCATTTCCTCGGGGTCCTGCCCTTTCCTGTTTGACTCACCTCCTGTTTGCCTTACTTCCTGTTTCCTGTTGGCTGTTTGAAGAAACAATAGGGGTTAGGTGGGTTGTTCTCAGAGTGGTCAGTACACAGTCGGGGTAAGGAAGGAGTCAGCTGGAAATGAATCTTAGAATAGTTTGAAGTGTAACTGCTGAAAACTTGAAGTGCAATCAGTTTGAGTTTTTTTCAGAAATTCTTCAGATAGATTCATAAAACCAAACAATCAGTGAATTTAAATCCCCGTTTCCACCAAGCGGTCCGGTTCAGTTTGGTATGGTACGGTACCCCTTTATTGGCGTTTGCACCGCAAAAAGTTGGGAATGGTACCAAAATAAGGATCCGTACCGTCCTACTTCTTTGGTACCCTTCTGTTGGGGTGCCGAGGGAACTGATCCGAACCTAAAGGGTCCCTTTTGTTTACTGAGTCCTGTTCTTCACCGGGCTACACTGTGTTGGGCTGCTATGATGTCGCTTTATTTCATAGCTGATGCGGGTATCTCCATCTGGCTCACACTCCACTTACTAAATAAGAGTATGGTTGGCTGTGGAAACACAAGCAAAATCAGGTTCTACTGTACCGAACTGAACCAAGCTGAACTGAACCACACCGGACCTAATAATAATCTGTGACAACCTGGCCAATCAGAGGCTGCATGTCCTGCGTCACCAAAACTGATGTAAAGACAGTGGTGATGATGGTGATGATGGTGATGATGGTGATGATGGTGATGATGATGGTGATGATGATGGTAATGGTGGGGTCTTCCTTCAGGTCATCAATGGAAGGAGGAGGATGGAGCTCCTTCCTGGAGACAGAGACAACCTGGCGATTCAGACGAGAGGTGGACCTGAAAAACATGAAGTGACTGGCTGGGTTCTGGTCAGTCTCATCATTTGAACAAATACTACTTTAAATACACACACACACACACACACACACACACACACACACACACACACACACACACACACACAAACTATTTTACATTTTGTATCTTTAGATTTCTCCTCTGACCAAAGAAGAAGAGGGCTCATATGAATGTCACGCCACCAACACTAAAGGAGAAGCTTCAGCTATCGGAACCATCCACCTGGTCGAGTCCCTCGATGACATCACTGTCAAGAAAGGTAACTATGTCAACAATAACAATATATACTATATACATATATATATATATATATATATATATATATATGTACTATAGATAACACGACAAACAGCGAGATAAACACAACTAAACAACAAAAGAAACACAGCAAATACAAAAACTAATGGCACAACAAACACTAATCAACTCAACAGAAGTACAACAGAGCAAGTTAACAACATGACAACAAAAATGAAGATCAAATAAATGAAACTCATCCAACTAACAGCTCCTGTTTCTGTGGTTTCATTCTCAAAATGTGACCTTTAAATCTATATCTAACATACTGAAACTTCCTTCAGGTGTTCTCAGGTATCATCAGTGGGTGGCTGAACACAAAATTAATTTGTTGTTTCAGTTTTTAATGATGACATAACAGTTTCTGATTAAACAGTTAATCAAACAGGAAATGAAAATGAAAGTGAATTGAAAATACACTTAAATAAACATCAAGTGATAAATGAGCTCGAAGAAAAAAATAAA